GTTAGAGACCATCCAGGACACATTCAGCTCTCGAGTCAATGACTTCACCATGATTCTGTTCACTGTGGACTCAGATCCTACAGATCCAGCTGTTGTTAACTTTGTAGGACAAGACAAAGACATTCAGAACCTCTGTCACACTTATCGAGGACGATATTTTGTTCTCAACATTAAGAACAAACAGCAGATCCCAGAACTGTTGAATCATGTGGAAAAGATGAGACCAGACAAAAACAAACAATTCTGTTACACAACATCAACATTTCTATTTGGAAAAATGGATCAAATTTCACAACAGCAGACAAAAATCATTTCTCTACAGGAGGAGCTTAATGAGATGAGGTCAAAGGTCACAGACACTGGTAAGTAAACTGTAACTGATATTCACTGTTCTCTCAATGTGATACTCTGCTATGAATTTCATTATCAAGAAAATGGCTCATAAGTCTAATTTAGTCCCATACATACTTCTTTTACAGGTGATGATGAGAACATGAACACAGAGCCTCTCAGGATTGTCCTGATAGGAAAGACTGGCTGTGGAAAGAGCTCATCAGGAAACACAATTCTAGGAAGGGAAGAGTTTAAAGCTGAATCAGCCCAAACTTCAGTAACTACATACTGTCAGAAAGCAAAGGGTGAGGTGGACGGTCGTCCTGTTGTTGTGGTCGACACTCCTGGTCTCTTTGACACAACTCTGTCAAATGAAGACGTTTATGAGGAGTTGATGAAATGTGTCAGTCTTCTGGCTCCAGGACCACATGTCTTCCTGCTGGTGATACAGATCGGCAGGTTTACAGCAGAGGAGAAGGAGACGCTGAAACTGATCAAGAAATTCTTTGGGAAGAATTCAGAAAACTTCACCAACATTCTTTTAACCAAAGGAGACGATCTGAAAGCTAAAGAGACCATTGATGAGTACATTGATAAAAAATGTGATAATTCCTTCAAGAAGCTGATCTCTGACTGTGGAGGAAGATACCATGTGTTCAACAACCGCGAGGAACAAAACCGCACACAAGTCAGCGAGCTGATAACGAAGATTGACACCATGGTGAAGAAAAATGGTGGCGACTACTACACCAATGAGATGCTGCAAGAGGCTGAAACTGCGATACAGAAAGAAATGCAGAGGATCCTGAAGGAGAAGGAAGAAGAGATGCAGAGAGAAAGAGAAGAACTTGAAAGGAAACATCAGGAAGAAAAGAAGAGCCTGCAAAGAAGACTGGAAAAACAGAGGGATGAAACTGAAAAAGAGAGAAAACAGAGAGAGCAGCAGCTTCAAGAAATGGAGAAAAACATCAAAAGATCTGAGAGAGAACAGAAGAAGAGAGAACAAGAAGTTAGAGACGAGGAAGAAAAGAAAAGAAAAATGCAGGAACAACGTCAACAACAGGAGTGGAAGAAAGAACGAGAAGCTCTGGAGAAAAAAATCAAGTCAGAATCAAAGGAAAAGGAAATCACTGACAGAAAACTGGAGAAGGTTAAAAGAGAGATGGAAGAAAAACGAGAGATTTGGGAGAAGGAAAGAAAAGTGCAGTTGGAAAAACAGCATCAAGAAGATGAACTGAGACGTCAGAAGGAGAGAGAGAAACTGAAGAAGCTTCAAGAAGAGTACGAACAGGAAAGAGAAAAATATGAAAACAAAAGAAAAGAAGAAGATCGACTCAAAAGAGAACAAGAAGAGAAGGAGCGAAAAGAATTAGAGGAAAACTACAAGAAAGAAATGGGGAACATGAAAACGATTTATGAAGAGAAGGCCAGAAAACAAGCTGAAGAGTTCAATGAGTTCAGAGAAAAATATAATAAAGAACTCAAAACTCTGATGTTAAAACACGATGAGGAGCTGGAAGCTCTGAAGCAACAGCATGAAACAGAAATGCAACAGAAACAGGACGAACACAGCAAAGAGTACAAGACATTAAAAGACCAAGAAAAGGAAAAAGAAGAGGAAATCAAAACTCTGACATTAAAACATGATGAGGAGCTGAAAGCTCTGAAGCAACAGCATAAAACAGAAATGCAACAGAAACAGGATGAACACAGCAAAGAGTACAAGACATTAGAAGACCAAGAAAAGAAAAAAGAAGAGGAAATCAAAACTCTGACATTAAAACATGATGAGGAGCTGGAAGGTCTGAAGCATAAGCATGAAACAGAAATGCAACAGAAACAGGACGAACACAGCAAAGAGTACAAGACATTAGAAGACCAAGAAAAGAAAAAAGAAGAGGAAATCAAAACTCTGACATTAAAACATGATGAGGAGCTGGAAGGTCTGAAGCATAAGCATGAAACAGAAATGCAACAGAAACAGGACGAACACAGCAAAGAGTACAAGACATTAGAAGACCAAGAAAAGAAAAAAGAAGAGGAAATCACAACCCTGAAAAAAGAACAACAAAAAGAAATGGATGATTATCTTGACCTCAACATGCTAAAAGTCAAGAAGTGTACCATCAGTTGATGTTCTTCTTTGCTGTAACAATAAATATTGATATTACTAACTGATCGTTCTGTAACCCCAGCAGTATCTACAGGCCTCCGTCACAGTGCATCATATAGCTGTGTTCACATTCTTGGATTTTTTTATTTTGCATGTTCTCCAGTTTGTTTGATTGTATGTTAGAAGGTTCTTAGCTTTATAAAGTAACAGCAAATATTATGATTCCACAATTATCAGCAGCTGAACTGACGTAAAAAAATTTATCTGCACGTTTTTTTTCTGTATTTTGACCTTTTTTATTCACTCTCTCATTTTAAAGGTAGACTCTTTCATGACTAGGAAGTATTTTTTGTGGAGTTTGATTTCATTTTAATTCAGAGTTGCTGTTATGATATAATGACAGAAGCTGTAAACATTTCCATTAACAGTCACAATATCATGTCAAATTCTCATTTTCCATTTGTTGAAGAATTTCTGACATTTTGAATTTATTTGTGATATTTTATGTGTACTTGCAGTAAATTCTTTCCTTTGTGATTAATTCATTGCTGAAACTGTTAAATGTGCTAATCATTATAATAAAATCTAATGGTCAACAATATCAAACGTTTCTCTGAATGCTACATTAAAGCACATTTTGCATAAATAAAATCTAAAAGGGGAAAAATAAATATTGGAATTGTTGCATTCTCTCTCTCTACTACAAGTTTTGAATTTTTCCATGTTTTTCATAAAGGTTTTTGCTTTTAAAGAATAGAAATATGGAAACCTCAGGAGGCAGTGATGGAGGAATCACTCAGGTGTATCTCCCTCTGTGATCCTGAGGGTGTCCATGCCTTCATCCTGGTCCTACCTGTGGCTCCCCTCACGGATGAAGACAAGAGAGAGTTAAAGACCATCCAGGACACATTCAGCTCTCGAGTCAATGACTTCACCATGATTCTGTTCACTGTGGACTCAGATCCTACAGATCCAGCTGTTGGTAAATTTATAAAGGGAAACAAGAACATCCAAGAGCTCTGTGAGAGCTGGGTCTCGGTTTCTTGTGAGCCTTCGCCACCTGAACCTTAGTAGACACAACCTTTGTGAAGAAACTTTTATAATTTCTACTTCATTCAGCAGCTATTGGATCTGTTGTTTGTCCTTGATTGTAGCGACTTCCACAGTCGCTAGAGGCTGGGGATGGAGCCTGCCTCTTTACCTGACGCGCTGTCAACTTTACGCAACAATGCAAGGACATTATTGGCAATCAGCACCATTGTAATAGTGGGGTATTTTTCTCGTTCTTTGCATAGTAATTAAACTGTACATTAGACCATTCACTGTTGTTAATCAGAAAGAATGATCCTATAATGGAAAATTATTGTTTTTTCTTCACACAAGTCAGCGAGCTGATAACAAAGATTGACACGTACAAGTACAATGGAGGCAACTGCTACACCAATGAGATGCTGCAAAAGGCTGAAACTGCAATAAAGAAGGAAGTGCAGAGGATCCTAAAAGAGATGGACGATAAGATGAAGAGAGAAAGAGAAGAACTTGAAAGGAAACATGAGGAAAACATGAAAGAAATGCAAAGAAGACTTGAAGAACAGAGAGCTGAAACTGAAGAGGAGAGAAAAAGGAGAGAAAAAGAACTCAAAGAAAAGGAAGAAAAATTAAATAAAGTGCTAGAAGACCAAAGAAAAGAAATGCAAAAAAGAGAAATCATTATCAGAGAGAGGAGACAACTGGAGGACAGTCAACAACAGGAATGGGAACAAAAACTTGAAGCTCTGGAGGAAAAAATCAAATCTGAATCAGAGTCCAAAGAAATCACTGAGAGAAAGTTGAAACTGTGGTGGACCACTGGAGGGCTCCACTCACACCCAGTTCTCAGGAAGTGTTATTGCTGTGTTTTGGAGGGGAAAGTATTCAGTTGTGTGGTGATGCGCAATAAACTAGGAGTGTTAATCGAGAGCTCTCGTGTTGTCTGTGTTTACCTCCACAAAACAAACTTGAAAAGAGATGAGAAAGAAACAGCATGCTTGGGAAATGGAGAGACAAGAGTGGTGGAACAAACAGTACAAAGAAGACAGGCAGAGAAGAGAGAAGGAACAAGCAATGCTCCTACAGGTCCAAGAAGAATATGAGGAGGAGAAAGAAAGATACATAAAGAAAACAAGAGAAGAAGAAAAAATCAGAAGAGAGCAGGAACAAAGAGAAAGAGAAGAGCTAGAAGAAAAGTATAAGAAACAAATACAAAGGCCTTTGAAGCTCTGATAGAAAAGTACGATGAGCAAATCAGGGAAATGAGGCAAGAATGGAGTATATTGCTATTGAGGTTTGGGACAGGAATGAACCAAATGTTATTGTGAATTTCTACAATCCTTGCGCCAGATTGGAGCTGCCCCGTCTTCGTTCAATTGAAGGAAGTGACTGTCGTGAGTTATTTGGTGTGGGGATTTTAATGCCCATAGCAGAGTGTGGGGAGGCACACACACAGATAAAAATGGTAAGGTAATTGAGGAATTGATGGATACATGCAATTTGGTGTGCCTGAATGA